CATCCAGGTTCGCACGAGGACGAACGGCCCGCTTTCTACGAATTTTCCGTTTCCACCACTTTCTCCACTTCTATCTTTATCTATCGCTACTCCTGTCTCCCTGTCCTAAGCACGCCTACACCTCCGGTCAGTTTTTCCTTTACCGACCATCGCGACGTACCCGCCGAACCGCTGCCGCCGGGACAATTAACAAAATAAACGATTGTATTTTCTGGACCAATTGTACGCCTATACGACCATACACTTATACTTTAATAAATTGAAGTGAAAACAGGGTAACGACCCACCTCACTATTATGAATTGAGTAAAGCGGATAATTGTTTAATAGTAACATTTCGAATACTAATGGTGACAAAGGAAGAAACAGAAGGTACAGAGTGTCTCGAACTTCGATGATTACATTATTATAATGTTACGGTAACATTCTCGTTGTTAGGTTAGTGATCAAAAAATTTCAGAATTAACTTTCGTATTGCATAAGATCGTGTATTTAAAAAAAAAAAGAGTCAGAGTATGTGTATTCTAAACTAAATAATTTTTGATTGTATCAAAGAGTAAATTAACGAGTACTAAGAAGATTATAAATTGTAGGAGGTGGTCTGAAATTAGCCAAAATGTCCAAAGGTTAATAGTCACGGACAAACGAAAAAAGGAATTCAAAATTTCGCGCACTGTCAACAAAATCACTCGAATCCCACTTCTGAGATTTTGTAGGAGGTGGTCTAATGAGTGAACGACGAGAATGTTTTCAAGCGGTTTATTTCCGACCTCCTTTCCGGGCTAACGCCTGCGACGCAAGAAACGATCCGTCGTCGAGGCAACGGAATTGTTCGTGCACAGAAAAGAGTTAGCGGGAAAGGAATTTTCTGATTTTATATTACTTTTATTGGAAAACCGAGAACAAACGCCACGCACGTGGACTTAATACAATACAATACGTCATACTTTTCTTTTTTCGCTCCCTTTTTCGCTTGACGCATGCGCGATCGCCGCTGCCGGTGCTGCCGCTCGGCGGACGCACGCCGATCACGATAAAAAGACACGCCCCTTTTAAACTCAAATCGTTACAGGAATAACTGTAACTTTTAACTCTCTAACTTTTAACAAACAAATCAGAACGGCATACGAAAAAACTGTAACAGTAATGAACAGGTTAGGGGCCCTCATGGGCAATATGAAAGGACCGACACAAGCAAAAAGGAGGTTATTGGCGGCGGTAGGGCAGGCGAATTTTTTATATGGGGCCCCCATATGGGCAGAAAAGGTGCAAAAAGGAGCAAACAGGGTGATGGCGGACAGGTCCACAAGGATGTGTGCTCTGAGAGTGGTAGCGGCATACAAAACAATATCAACGGAAGCAGTAGCAGTAATAGCGGGAGTGCCCCCTATGCATCTACTAGCAGAAATAAGGCAAAGAAATTATAAAAAAATGAGGGCCTTGATAGAACAGGGGATGGACCCAAAAATAAAAAATAAAATAAGGAGGCAAATTAAGAAGGACGGGGAAAAGGAATTGGTTGACCGATGGCAGAAGGGTAGGAGAAAGAGACCGGGAAAGCCCTGTGGACAAAAGAAGTAATCCCCAAGATAAAGGAATGGAAAGAAAGGAAACACGGAGAGGTGGACTATTACATAACGCAGACCTTGTCAGGGCATGGGGCATTCAACGATTACTTATTTAAATATTATAGTGCGGGATCTTCACGTCTTAGGTTGTGTGGGGTTCGGGTCGACTACACTTAAATATCGCAACCTCACGAGAACACTGTGCCACTATTATCGGAGCTACCGCACTCGTCTGCAGCGTTAAACGTCTGTTTTCGAGTTTGTCCTTGTCACTCGGTCACTATCGCACGTTCACCAAAAGGGCGCGGAAACGTTAACTGGGTAGACGGATCTAAACGTTGCCTCGTGGTCCGGATTTGTCCACGCCAGGGAGCAAAGTCGGAGCCAGGCAGGATTTTTGTCCGTTCGATGTCCACACAAGGGAGCGTCTTGGAGCAAGTATCCGTTTTTGTCCATAAAAATCGTAGATCGGCCCTCTTTTTATCCTTGCTGGGGGTCCCCTGGGCCAGCGAGACTGATGGAGTGGGGGAGTGAGATAGTGGGGGAGTCTATAAGGGATGGTGACGAGGGAAGTGACGAGGGCGCTACTCTGGTGGCCGCTCGGAGCACTACCCTCTTTACGGGGTGCGCTACAACATGTATTAATAAATAAAGGGATACCAATCGACGTTATTTTCAAATAATTTTATATAGAATCATTAATTTAATTGGAGTTTATTATTTAACAAAAACATGTTAACATAAAATAATGCTCATCGACGACGCTTAAACATTCCTTCCTTTCTCCCCGCTCAGAGTCTAGACGCGATATTTTGCAACAAAAAGAAATAGTAAAACATTGAAATATACCGTTAGACAATTATTATCATTATTACGTTCTTACTTTTGTTACGCTATCGCATGAACGTAGTTTTAATCGCTCGTCGTGCATGCCCGTGAACGTGGCTTTAAGGCGGTCTGAACTGGTGTCATGTAGCGCCTCGTAATGCGAATGTTAAAGCGCGCCAAATTCAATTTTCTTCGTTCAATGAGCTCAGACGTATTATCTCGTAATAAAGTTATAGTTAAACATTTCGTTAATTATTGTTCCAATCAAGTTATTTATTAAGTTATTTATTAGTTTATTAAAAGTTTCAACGCTTGTTTTCCTTATTCATTTAACTTCCTAAAATCATCGTGAGCAGAGTACTTCAGTGCTCCACGGGCGACAATTCCCTCAAATTCCCCAAGACCCCACGTAACACTTTAAAGTTTCTTATTTATTTTAAATATATTACACAACTACGAGTAAAGAATTTTAGCGTTCCACAGGTAACAACCCCGTCCAAATTGTCTAAGTATCTACGTAACAACTGAGATTACATTAAGGCCCCGTTTACACGGTAGTCAAACAGCACCAAGCTATAGGATTTTTGCAACTTATCCCCAAAAAATACATTAATGTTCTTTGTAATTTCAGGTTGGTAACACCAGAAGCAGCAATTCTAAACTGTTTTTCATTGAACCTTTACCGCGTAACGATTAGTAGAAAGTTAGATTCAATCGTGACGTTAACCTTCTTTATGTAAAACAAAATGTCTTTTCGGCAACAATATAATGTGAAAACGTTTGGCTTTGGAGATATGGACAAGGGTCGATTTGTTTGCACCAAGAAACATAAAAAAACGCGTAAAACCCAATGTTCAATTCTGACACGTCGTCGAGAATCGATTGAAAAATGTAGCGACTGTGTGATCGCCTGAACTTTTTGCTATTAACCTTTTTTGTGTTCTGGTTGTCTCGTTGGCGCGTTGCCCCGGTCAGCCCTCGCATTTCCCCTTCCCAATTTGGGTCCCTTGACGGGGTTGAGTTTTGGGTGGGAGACTAAGACTTGGTCACCGCCCAACGCCAACCACTCACCCTCAAGGACGGGGTGTTTTGCGTGAAGTACGCGTACGGGGGTGAGTTTTGGGTGGGAGACTAAGACTCCCACTCACGTTCGGTCCTTGGTCACCGCCCAACGCCAACCACTCACCCTCAAGGACGGGGTGTTTTGCGTGAAGTACGCGTCACCTGGACTTATGGGAAAAACCCAGGGTAACGATACCGTTCGCTCGCGAGAACGTGCCTGGGCTCGCGCGGGTTTATGATACATCAATTGCTATTGAGATGCACGAAGAAAACTCCAAATTTTCCGCTTTTATGAGAAGTTTGGAGCCCTCCTGACAATAAGGAATACTTAACGAACGAAAACATTAAACGCGTATTCAAACCTTAATCTCAAAAATAGCAGAGAGTCGCGTCCGTATAATAAACCTGGTCTAACTTAAGTATCCTAACACCCAAAGAGCTGCAACGTTTAATAAAAATAAAGTTATATCAAATTCTGCGGAAAGCGTATCACAGAACAAAGGTTTGTATAGAACAATGTTTATATTGGATAAACCTGGTCTAACTTAAGTATCCTAACACCCAAAGAGCTGCAACGTTTAATAAAAATAGAGTCATATCAAATTCTGCGGAAAGCGTATCACAGAACAAAGGTTTGTATAGAACAATGTTTATATTGGGTATATTATCTTATTGATATATTGCCACATTGTTATTTACAATTTAATGTCAGGCGTGCAGTTAGTCCCTGTAGTGGAGGATCGTATGACTAAGTTCTTAAAATGGAAAGTGGAACGCGAAAGACGCAGAATGCTTGAACAACTCAAGAAAAAGCCACCCTTTGTTGTTGGAGTAGTTCATCACAAATTGTGTTCTCCAATTAGCAAAGATAATTGTTGCGAGATGCGCCCTTTTTCCGACTCGGGTGTCAGAGTAACGCCGTGATGGTGGAATTTCCTGACTCGTGCGACTTTCGGTGATCCACGAGGGAAACGTCCACTTCGCCGGGCAACTTAATCGGCCGGCGTCTTAATCAGTTCGCATACTACGAGCTTCAGAAAGAAGCTGATCGAGTCTGTACGAGAACGATCGAGTGTTTTTCCCGGTGTACGAGTTTTGATTTTGGTCAATTTACTACGAGTGTTGAAATTGTTCTTTTTACGGCGAGCGTTAAAAATGTTCTGTCTTTTCGGAGGACGATTCCTCCTGAGGGAAGCGCGATTTCCCTCTCTACGCTTCGAGGCTCCGACGGGGGTGAAGCACAAAATTTGACCTAATTGGACGACTTTGTCTCCACCCCATCAGAGATTGAAACGAAGGAAGGGGCACGCGTACCACCCTGCATTTCCGTGACTAACGCGAAGTGCTCGGTTTTCTCGATACTTTATGGCAGGGCCTGGCTGGTGTCTCGAGAGCTTAGCCCTAACGGCGCCATGCCACAAGTGCCGATACTTGAACGTTCGACGCTTCAAAGACTTCTATTATTTTCGCGCCGTATTACGACCGTCGAAGTCCTTGTCAAGGTTTACGTACCTTGCGTAAGAACTCCGACGGCGCATCCTTGGTGACATAGATGGGACCTACATCCACGATTGGAAGTAGGCCATCGAAAAGCTTTATTTTACGCATTCTTGGATTCCGGTGTTCCCTTTGGAACGTCGATGGACTAACATCTGCAACGCAGATGTATATTCATCGAGCATGTACGAGCAGGAATTTAAGTGGTGAGAATTATTATTTTCTAGGAAAACTACAAGTGCGATGCATGATGGTATTCGTCCTTTGTTACGACGTAACAGAAATCTTACAATTTTTTAATCCAGAATATAACGGAGTGCTTGGTTCTTCAATATCTTACACTGTTGGTTTGTAACACTCCTGCTAATTGGAGCGGATTTTGTATTATAAAAGTGATAAAATTTTAAAGAGGTGCGCCTCGAATTGCCGGCCCTGGTCGGTGGTGACTCGCAGCGGTGTTCCGAATCGGGAGATCCATCCTTCGTAAAACGCCCTTGCGACGGTGGTGGCTTCCTGATCGCGCAAAGGAATTGCTTCCGACCAGCGGGTAAAACGATCCACGCACGTAAGGCAGTATCGATACCCCTCCGACATCGGCAAAATTATAATATCTATATGTACATGTTCGAAACGCGCCGATGGTCGAGGGAATGATCCAAGGGGAGCCGTTACGTGCCGGTCGATTTTATTCCGCTGACACGGAATGCAGGCTCTGGTCCATTCTCGGCAATCGGCCTTGATAGCGGGCCAGACGTATCGCTCGGTTACGAGCTTGACCGTTGCATTTACTCCTGGGTGTGCGAGACCATGCAGCGCGTCGAAGGCGGGTCGCCTAAACGGAAACGTGAGGAAGGGACGCACAGAATTGGTCGAAACATCACAAAAGACTTTCGCGGTGGAACCAGAAATCTCTAGGCGTTTGATGGTCAGCCCCGATTGGCTCTGCATCAACGTCTGTAATTCGGCATCGGTCGCCTGGGACGCTGCTAAGGTCTCGTAATCTATATGCTTCTCCACCAGCTCTATTCACGATAACGCATCCGCGACTACATTATTGCTGCCCGAAATGTGTCGTATGTCCGTAGTAAATTCACTAATGAGGGAAAGGTGTCTAATTTGTTTCGGTGTACGTCTGTCCGTCTTGTCTGCAAATGCGTATGATAGGGGTTTATGGTCAGTGTAAATGATAAAATGTCTACCCTCGAGGAGGTGCTGAAAATGTTTGATGGATCGGTAAATAGCAAATAATTCGCGGTCAAAAGCGGAGTAATTCTGTTCCGCGGGCGAGAGCTTGGTGGAAAAAAATGCTAGAGGTTCCCACGCATTACCGATACGCTGATGCAGAGCGGCGCCGACTGTAAAGTTAGAGGCGTCGCAGGTAACGGCGAGTGTCCCGTTCGGTTCGGGGTGCGCCAATAAAGCAGCCTGCGCCAGGTCCTGTTTGCACTGGCGGAAGGCCTTACGTGCCTCAGGTGTCCACGCGACAGGTTGACTCCCCTTAATATTCTTAATTAGAAGGTCATTTAACGGCGCCTGGGTGTGAGCCGCCTTGAGTATGAAACGTCTGTAGAAGTTTACCATACCCAAGAAACGGCGTAATTGTTTCGCTGAGGCAGGTTCCGGAAA